TACTAAGCCTCACCGAGTTTCAGCCTAATATTCTGACTGTAGTCTCAGCATCACGGGCCAGGTCCTTCCCCATCGCCTCCCCCCACTTCTGAGGATCAAGCGAAAAGCAAGGTGCTTGCGCTTGGCCCAGAGAGACCATCATCGAAACTCCGCATTCCTAAATATTTGTTCTTTGAAATGTCTTTCTCAATTAGATCTCATCCAAATGTTTGAGAGTCAGGCTGAATTCCAACTTCCTGCTCCAGAACAGACATGTTGAGCCTGCATAATTACTGCAGCCAGCTTTATTTGCTATAAAAACATGGATTTTTTTGCTCCTTCTCAACTGTAAAATAATCAATAAATAGAATCCAGATGAAAAATGCTAGCATTTAGGAGAACAACTCTTTTATGGTTCTTTTCTTTTGGGTCTAATTAACACATTGGGAATAAAGTGTGCTGTTATATTCACCCAACCAGCTAAGTTGGAACACAAACTCTCCTTTCCTCCTGCTGAGATACAGCTGAAAGTCAGAAATATTGGTGAAACAGACAGGGCTTCAAACCAAGGTGACACGTTCAACAAACAGATCTGTAAACCTGTGATGTGGATGGACTTTCTCCAACCTCTTTCTGTTCACAATGGCTGTTCAATTTCCTTCTCTCTCTGCTAAGAACACATTGCATAGTTACTGTCAAATGAAACACTGATAGTCCCCTTAGCAGGAGAAGCAATCTCTCTGACTTTCTTTATTTTAAATGAAGAAGACATGCCTTTTTGGACAATGACCACCCAGGCCATGCAAGTTTCATGAGGGGCTCTTGGGGTGGATGGCACCTTTTCAATTAGAACGCTGCCATAATAAACCCCCACAGAGCCATGGGGCATGGAGCCTACATCCAACACAGGACACCTATTTATTCCCTAATTATATTGCAATATATTCTCTCTGTGTGTGCTGATGAAGATAAAATATTCTTTTAATTCTATGGCCTCCTGGGGATGAGGGGGAGGGGATTATACACAGGCAAGTTCTGGGAGTTTCTGGAGCAAAATCACAGCCTTTGTTCCAGGCTCCCCCATTGCATAAATCTCAAGAAAATAACTCACTTTTCCTTGTTCCACCACAGTGGTTCTTTAACTGTAGTCCCTAGACCAAGAGTATCGCATCACCTGGGGACTTATTAAGATGTGCAAATTACTGGGCCCACTTTAGACCCACTGAATCAGAAACCTTGAGGGTGGATCCCAGTAATCTGTGTTTTAACAAGCCTTCTACACTAAAGTCTGAGAGCTACTGGTCTATAGAACAGACAGAAAAGAACATCATTTTAAGAGGAATAAGAGATCAGGGATACTCAGACTCTATAGGAGCTGGGCTCCACTTTCTGCATAGCTGTCCCAATCTGCAGAGTCGGGGCTCCGTTTACCCATCTGTACAATGGGACTACAGAATTAGCCAATAGCTGTGGGTGCTGGAATTTAAAAGGCACATGGTTACCTGGCACCAGTCTCTATGGATACCTAGCAAGACCACAGTTGCTAACACTCCCCAGCTCCCTCCTGCCATGCCCCGTCTGGTGGTGACTGCAGGAGCTCTGCAGAGCAGCTCTCCGCTGCCATATCTGAGTCCATCAATGCAGCTGCCTCTGGGTTACCCTTGGCAACCAGGAGCTGGGGTCATGGAAGCCCACAGAATCTCCAAATCTCTGAATCTCATCGCCAACAACTTCAAATCTTTTCAACTCAGAGCTTTGAACTACTAGAGGGCAAGCTTAGGATTCTCTGTGTTATATGGTTCCACTTCATCACTTCTTCGAATATTCTTTGTGAATTTGCTTCCACTCTGCAACTAGACTTGAAGCCTGTGGAGGACTGAAGCCTAAGGGAATGTCAGCATCATGAGGCACGGGACTCTGCCTGTCCAGTTCCCTGCCACGTCCCAAGGCCACTGCCTGGCACAAAGTAGGAGCTCAAGAATTATTTGTTACCTAATATTCCTATTGTAGTAAGTGCCCTGGCCATAGCACGTCCAACAGTAGGTCCAAAACACTCAAGTATTTAAATTCTAAAAGGTATGGTTGGGAAGCGGCAAAGAAACTACAGTTGGCCCTTAAACAACACAGGTTTGAACTGTGTGGGTCCACTTACACTCAGATTTTTTTCAATCAGTGTACAGTCTGCCTGCCGTATCCACAAGTTTGGCATCCACGGATTCAACCAACTTCAGGCAGAAAACAGCATTTTCTATCCGAGGTTGGGAATCTGCAGATGCAGAGGGATAACTACACACACTGTTCTATGCCTTTTTATATAAGGGACTTGAGCTTCCACAGATTTAGGAACAACTGATGTTTGGGGGAGTCCAAAGTTATAGGCAGATTTTTGATCGGAAGGTGGCATTCCTAATTGCTGCCCCTTCCCCAATTGTTCAAGGGTCAACTGTATTTGAAACTCTGGAAAGAGGAGAAAGGGGAAAAGGAGAAACAAAGCCTGAATATTTCCCAGCAGTCAGCCACGACCCTTGGCCCATGGAATGCTGCTTCCCAACCAGTGGCTCACCCTCCATGTGGAACTAGCAGACCTCTGGGACCAGGTTTTGAGCTTGAGTTCAGAGGAGCTGGGTCTTCTAGCTGCCCTCGGGCGTCTTGCTCACAGGCCCTGAGCCTGCTGTCCTTTGACCATCAACTTAGTTTGTTGGTCACAACTTAATTTGTGAGCTTTCCTGCCTCTCTCTTAGTGCACAAGCCTCCTACTCCGAATCACTCCTCCCCCAACTGGAAATCGGCCCAGGCTTACTTCCAAGCCCTCCCTTCTCCAGGGACTATCCCTAATCCTGCCCCCTCCAAAATCAATTTCACCTGAGAAGCCTATCCTGGCTTCCTTAGTGACAAAACAATGGCGGCTCTTTCCCTGTGGACTGCACTTTGGGGGGTGGGTGGCAGTCTAAAGACTCCCTTTACCCCCAGATTTAAGTTCCAGCAGAGGTTAGGTGCGCAACAAACTGTCACCTAAGTGATTTATCCGGGGAGATGACGACACAGGACCTAATGAGAATCGGAGACCAGTCTTCTTCTGTCTGTAACCTTACACACTCCCAGTTTCCAAGGACTTGATGTGGCCTGACTAGGAGCACCTGTCCTGTGCTAAGAATGTGGTGAGGGCAGGTAGAGTATTAGAAAAAGACCTGAACTAGGAATCAGGAGACCTGCCTGGTTTCCAGATCCCTCCCCCACTTAACTAATTCTAAAGGAGTCCTCCCACTTCTCTGGGCCTCGGTTTGCTGATCTGTGAGATGGGAGGAAGGGGTGGAGACTGCAGTGTCGGACCTTGAATTTCTAGCGGCTTAAACAATACGTGAGCAACTGTGAGACCTGGTGCATGTCGTGCACCAGGGAAAACCCACCGAACGAGCTGAGGATGGAGTGCTCCCGGGTGGTCAGTTCAGGGTCCTGGGGGGCGGAGGACAACCTGCGGGGAAGGACAGCTGACGGACCTTCCCCGCAAAGCCCTCAGCTTTCGCCCCAGGAAACCTGCTCGAAACCTTTCAACAGGATCTGTTCAATAGCACTCCTACAAAGAGGGATGCGAGGCCGGGGCCCCGCTGGCTCCGAGGAAGCCGCACCGGGCAGCGGATCCGGCCTCCCGAACTCCGGGAGCGAGAGGACCCGCGCCCCCGTCAGGCTCCGACAGCCCAGGACAGCCTCCGCACACAGCCACCCGGTGCCGGCATTTAACCCCTATTTTCCAGGCAGAGCGCGGGAGGAACGCTGATGCCCGGGCACGAATCCCCTTGCCAGAGCGAGCTGAGATGACCGGGAGCCCAAACCATCCAAAGCCTTCCTCCAGCCGGCCGTGACCGCGCTCTCTGCGTTCCCTCGGGGACAGTGGGAGATACTGAAGCCGAGCCACTTTGAAATATTTTTCTAGAGAACATGACCACGCGGGAAGCAGTCAGACTAGCCTAGCAGTGCGGGCTAGCGGGGACAGATCCCGAGAAGGAACCGAGAGGAACAGGAAGGAACCGGGAGTCCAGGTCTGGAAGAAACCTGCCAGGGCTCAGGAGCCCCGGGAACTGTCAAAGCGAGGCTGCGCGCTCCCCGGTTCTGCACCGGTGAAGGCTTCGCTCCACTCACGGACCTTGACGCCCGCAAGGAACGATCTTGCATATTTTAAGTCGTACTTTTTTCTAACAAATTAAGAAAAGAAACCAAGTCTAGGAGGAAGGCGGTTGCGCTCCGCGGCTCCAAGGGGCTGCAAGTGCCACCCATCCCCCCTCCCTCCAATGCTACGGCACTCGGAGGTGCTAGAAGTTGGGAACTTCCGGGCCGCGCTGCAGGCGCGCACTGGGAGCGACTTGCTCCTCTGAACTTGGGGAGCAGGGGTCGAAGACGAAGGCACGAGGGACGTCCGGGATGTCAACTCAAAAGGACGTTCTGGACTTCCCTGAAAAGAGTCGGGGCGATGGGAAGAGAACGAAATGAAAGGGGTATATATTCCATTTAGCGCCTCCAACAAGCAAAAGCGCGTTTGGCACCGGCTTGGGCTGGGCGGCTGCGCGGCGCAACACTGGCTGAGCCCCGAAGGCTCTAAGCCCGGACTCAGCCGGGGAGGGCGCCGGTAGCACTGCGCTCAGCGGGCGCGTCCGGGGGCGGCTCCGGAGTGGGAGTCCCCGCACTCGGAGGGGCGGCTGGGCGCCCTCCCCGGGACAACCGCGCTGCGCTGCTGAGCTTGGGTCTTCCCCTGCCGCGGGCCGCCGAAAGGCAGACGGGTGCATAGTCCAGGGCCACCCCCAAAACATCCTGCCCGGACCCCCTGGCATTCTCCAAACCCCGGCATTCACCGCCTCCCCGCACCAAGCTTAGCTTCCGCAGCCTGGACCCGAGCAGGGCAACGGGGATCCACGAAGCTGGTGGAAAGTTAGTCGAGAGGCTGCAAAGCCCCCTCCCCGACTCCGGTCCCCCAGTATCTCAGGCGGTTCGAAGCTCCACGTCCTCTCAGTCCCCGCCCAACCACCTACCTGCCTCTGCGGCCCGCCCAGGGCTCCGCCGGCCAGTCGCTCAGTCCTGTCCTCTGGAGCCCGAGCCACGCCAGAGCGCCGGGCCAGTAGCCGGAGCTGCCAGCAGCCCAGAGCCGGGTGGTGGGCGGCGGGCAGCGGGCACCGCGAGCGAGTGCGCGAGCAGGCGGGCTGCTGGAGCTGCGCTGCTGCCGCCGAGCCCGCCCCCACCCCCTCCGTCCCTCGGTCCCTCCCTCTCTCCTTCCCTACCAGCCGTCCTCCTCCCCGCTCACGGCTCCCTCCCTCCGTTCTCCCCCACTCTCCTTTTTTTTTTTCTCTCTCTCTCCCTCTTTGGTCCTTTCAGATCCTGCTCGTTTGCTCTCTCTTTTTCCTATCTTTTAGTCTCTTTCTCCAATTTCCCTTGGGTTCTTTTTTCTCTGATACAACCCTTTTCAGCATTTCTTCTCAACACCTCCCCACTTGCGTTCTTTTGCACGTTTCTCGCATCCCTCTTTTCTCTCTCCTCTATTCCTCTTTGCTATTTTCTTCTCCTTTTGACCTTTTCAAGTCTCTACTCTCCTTTCTCAGCTCTACTCCCCTACTCCCTCCGGGTGGGTCGGAATGGCCTGCAGCCGCCTCCTTCCAGCTGTTCGGAATGGGGAATCCCCAGGGGTCGAGCGAGGCCCGGGTACCCTCCAGCCCTTCTAGTCACAGGCTGAGGACAGGGAAGGGCGTGCCAGGGCTGAAGGCTGTGACCCGAGACCAGGGTTGGGAAACATCTGGACGGTAAAAGGGCAAGCAGGCAAAGAACCCAGAATGTCAGGCCCCTAGGCATGCCAGGCTGAGCTGTGTCTGGGAGATGAGGAAATTTCGGCCCAGAAAGGAGAGCTCGGGGGACTACCTTGCCTATGTCAACTCCAGAGGCAAGGCCTAGTCCACCACTGCCCCTGGCAAACAGGACAGGGCTCCTCCGCTGACCCCAGAACTGCGAGGGTGCCAGAGGTAGATCCAATCCTTCCAACCTCTCTGCCTGCGGCAAGCTCCAAGCCCCAGCCCCCAGTGCCACAGGGAGTCCCTTGGGCCACCTCACTGTCCCTCGACCCTCCTGGGAAGCCCAGCCCTGGTGAAGGGGAGAACCCGGATCTGATGTGTCTCAGGGAACACTTCTCCCCACCTGGACCCCTCTCCAAGAAACGTGGGACTTATCATCTTGTTCCTGCATATCAGAGATGGGAGAGCAGTAGCAGGGCGCTTTGCCTATGTGGTTCATCTCCTTTTCTCCTTGAACTACAGCAAGAGCAGAAAGACCCAGACTTGAGAAAGGTGCTGTACACATCTCAGGGAGGAATTTATTTTATCTTATTTTATTTTATTTTATTTATTATTTTATTTATTTATTTATTTTTAGAACAAAGCACGCATTACCTGAGGCTTTGGGAAAATCTGAGCCTACACACATGCCTGAGCACCTCGACTTCCTGCTCCAGCCACTGATAATGGACTTCATTCTGATGAGGGAAGTCCCACTTCTTGAAGATTTTCCGGGCCCTTCCCCATTTCAGCCCAGTGGTTTCCAGAGGAGAGATGGAGAGTTCCAGGTTTCATGGACCCCACTCTGCCACCCTGCTTTGTCAAGACAGGATCATGACTCTCCTAGTTTTGTACCTAACTGCTGGGACCAGTTTTGTTCCCGCTCCATACTGTTCCTTCCATGGTAGCAACCAGAAGCAGACTCTCCATTCAGCCCCTGGGTAGAAACCTACCTTGGAATATTGACAAAACTGCACAAATATCCTACCAGTTTCCTGTCTTTAGACATCAATTCAAATACATAATTTGAATTTTATGCCTGGGCCATGGTTGTCACACCACAAAACCAGAAGAAGCACCTGGGACTAGGGTGAGCTGGGACTAGGGTGAGGCTAGTGAGGCACCTAGGACACAGAATTTAAGGAAGCAGGCACGCTCTGGGTTGTGCATGTGCAGGTTTGGCATCTGAGAGAGAATGCCTCTTTCAGTGCTGCATCCTAGGGCCTTCCTGCCTCACCCTAATCCTGGCCCTGCTGTCAAACCTCAGGGCGATCACTCACCACCTGTATGGCCCTGGTCCATCCCTGCAATTCTCTGGCCTTCTGCTTCCCCACCTGACACTGAAGAGGCTGAGACAGATGTTCTGTAAGGGTTTCTCCAGCTCTGAGGTGCTGCAGTTCATGGGGATCAGAGATGCTGAAGGTGCTACAGTTTGTGGGGGTCAGAGATGCCGAAGGCTAAGAGAATGGGTTCTAACTTCCCGGGTGTGTGTTCCTGCTCTGCCAGTTACTACGACACATAACCTCCCTGGCCTCAGTTTCTCTATCAGTAAGATGGGAATGATAACAGTACTGTGAGCCCTGAGAGGAATAAACCAAATAATACACGCAGTGGCACTTATAACTGTTGGCAATTAATATTATGTAAGGTAAGTTTTGCATTTCTTTTCTTCATCTTCACATTCCCTTTTGGATCATGAATTAAGCTACCCCACACACCACCCCCCAACCTCTGTATGGTAGCTGTCTATTTATAACTCTCAAACCTCAGTTCTAACAGGTTTGGGGAGGGGGGCAGGTCTTCCTGGAAAACCATTCCACCCCATCTCAGGAAGCAAGTGCACGGGAAGCCACCCACTCCCTCACCTCTCTCTCACATACACTGAGGGTTGCTGGCCCCCTCCACACTGGGCTGGGGATTGCCTGGTTTCCTGCCATACTCTAAAAAGCCACACGGATCTATAAAGCTGCACCTTCTCTACCCATCTGGCAGGCCTCCAAGGACTCAGGTCCCAGCAGAGCCAGGAACACTTTTAGCAAATGTCTCTGAGGGTCGGCTCGGGGTCACATTGGAGCCCGTGATCCATCATTCATTTGCCAGTCCCTGAGAGCCTGCTTATGAAAGGCACCGCTCTGCACACCCTATTGATGTCTGTATGTTCAACCCAGCTGCAACAAGTTTATTTTAGAAGGTATGACAATGCTAAGACCCCACTACTCATCTAAATGCATCATCTGAGACCAAAGTCCACTATTCTGAGCTATAAGCCTTGCTCTCAAAAAACTTACACTGTAACTGGAGCAAGAAGACAGTAAAACAGATGAGCTGAGTGAGGTGATTGAGAGCAGGAGCCCTGGAAGCAGATGCCTGAATTCAAACTCATGCTCTATCACTTAGCTATGTGACCACAAGTGTGTCAATCTCTCTGTGCCTCAGTGTTCTCATCTGCAAAATGGGAATGATAGTGTGATCAAACACTGCTACTATCTCTGTCTTATAGAGGAGGAAACTGAGGCTCAGAGAGAAGAATTTCCGGGCTCAAGGTCACTCAGAAGGTGAGCAGAGCCCAAGCAGGGTTCATTTCATAGCCTTTGCTCCTGCTCTCCACCTTCACCCCTCAGCTTCTCTGATCCTTCTTCCTACAGGGACTCCAAGTGTCTCTTCTCCAATGAAATGGCATCTGAAACCCGGTTCCATTTCCATCCTCTCTACCTACTTCAGCCTGGATGGGGATGGGAGGTAAGGAGGCCAAACTCTGCTGACCAAGGTGGGAGGACTTCTTCATTCTTAGAAATAAATTATGAGAAGGCTAGGACACCAGACAGCCTGGCCAGCGCTCAGACCGTGGTGGTCCACACCTTCCTTCACTCACATGCACAGGAAATTCCCTTTGTTTTCCTTCCCTCGCTCACCCTCCTTTCTCTGTTGGGGATCACCTCTTCCCTCCCTCTTCCCCCACAGAGCTCTGGCTCCGAGCCCGAGCCCGGAGCCCGAGCCCCAGGGACAAAGGTGCAGTGCACCAGGGATCACTGGAATCTGTTGAGTGATGGGAAGATTTCAGAACTTACAGGATCTTTTAAACTCCTCAAGTGAAACCTGGCATATGAGCGTGCTTGAGAAAATGTTTGTCTTCCCACCAGACTCTAAGAGATATACTTGTGATCTTACTCATTTTCATGTGCATTACAAAGCCTAGCATGGGGCCTTGCTACAAGAGTAAATATCTACAATTTGTTAATAAGGTATACACATGATTTCACTTAAACCTCCCAACAATTCTGCACAGCAGGCATTGCTATCCCCCTTTCACAGAGGGGGAAACTGAAGGTCTGTCTAAGAGAATAAATTACCCAAGGCCATGTAGTGATAGAATCCAGATTTGAACTCAGTCCCATTCAAAGCTCCTTCCTCAGTGCTACAGCATCTTGCATTGCAGGGCTGGATTAGGGTAAAGTAGGCAAAGGACCCAGGTCCAAAACTGAAGAAGGCACTCGCTCTCCGGTGCTGTCTATGCCTGCACAGCCCTGAGAAAAAACAATCATCGGCTGTTCTCCCCCCAGAATTACGGAGGACTGTGGGATCCTGCGGCTTAGCTATGGACAAAATGTAGAGGAGAAACCACTGAGCAGCCAGGATCTAAGGTAACTCATCGGCGTAACATCTGCTCACATAACATGCCCTGACAGAGCATGCCCCAGCGCAGCCTCAAGTATCTCTGCACACCACAGTCCTGCCCAACGGACAAATTACCAAGCGATCATCACCCAACACAATTCCGTATTGTACACACCGACAGGACGCCAGGGCCTGCAAACGCATGTAATACAATTCCTGCACTCACTTAAAAATGGGAGGGAAGTGGGTGGCTGGAATAAAACCCAAGTGAAGTGACTCTTTGAAAGCTTTTTTTCAAATCTATAACCATCAATTGAAGTCTTGATTAACTTGGTTGTACTTATTAAATTGTGTTCAGTATTTCATAACTTTGAATATAGATTGAATATTTAATGAGATCTATTTACATATAAACATCAGAAATGCCAGTTGCTTTGAATTGAGAATTGTGTTTGTGACTCATTCTCAGGAGCTAGCGCTGGAGATCTCTCCATTCTACATTTTCACAGATTTATTTAAATTACAGGTTATCACCATGACATTATTACTCTATCACTTGTTATGATGTTCCACTATTATAACAAGATTACTACACAGTCCCGAGAAACGTGGCATTTGGACACTGAACTTCCTTGCATCCAGGCAAACTGGTCCTGGGTTTCTAAGCTCTCTTTCCTCCATGTTTACCAGGCAAAGGCTCCAAATA